CCATCTTGACATGATAAATAGTAATGTCACCTGTAGAGTATATATATATATATATATATAAATTCTTTTTCATTTACAAATCAAATGTTTCATATATATTTCTAATTCATATATATTGTGTGAAATATGGATGAAAATTTGGAACAGCTAGAGGAAGGGTGCCAATTGACAACAATAGAAGAAATCTCTCATGCTGTTAACCAATTATTGGGTAGAATTCAAGAAGAGGAGGCTACTTCAAGTTCAAACTAATTATTTTTTCTCAATATAATAGCTTTTGTTTATTTAATTTCTATATGTATCATCTTTTCTTTCTTTTTAATCATTTTTATTAGTTTACTACTACCTTCTTAATCATTATAAATTTATAATTACTACCTTTCATAGTCTCAAGGAGAATGATTAAATTATCTTGACATAAAATAATTCTAGTGTGTGGCAAATTGATTTGAAATTCTAGATAGATGTAGTCCAAAGTCCAAATCCTTTCACTCAAGGGTGGATATAAATATTGAAAACTTAGATCGAACTGAATTTATTTCATTCTTCAATTTTCAGTATTATAATTCAGTTTCTATATAATTTTTCTAAATGTTTAGGTTTAATGGACCTTGAAATTATGTATTTGATTCTTCGATAGTACAGAAGTTTAATAATCATTATTCAAATTTCATACTCGAATTCAAAGTCTCGTGCCCGTAAATTTCAAATCAAGTCGTAAGCCAATAGCCCATTCCAAAAATTAAGAAATCGAACTAAATGAATCGAACTTTTCAAAAATCAAATCAAAATTCAAAAGAATGAAACTGAAGAACCGAAAACCTCACTTGTCATCTTAATGAAACCTAGCTAGCCTAGAAGATATATTTACACACATTTAATTGTCTTTATGAAGTCTACCTAATCTAGTTATTTTTAGGAGAACACGTCTAGAATAGGGGATTGTCAAGTCTACGTTAATCAAATTGACATATTACATAATTCAATGTATTTTTTATTCCATATACAATAATATAATATATAATTTTTTCATAATTTATCAATATATTAGTTTTACAGATTTTTTGATTACCAATCAAGCATTTTATTCATTTTATATATGAATAATTTGTTATTTATCTATCTATCAAACGTCATATAAATTATATAAAAAAACTTAATACATAAATAATTTATTTCTTATCCAACAATTAAACGAGTCCTTAATGTTTGTTATCTCAGCTTACTATACTACTTTTAATAAACTTAATAAAATAAAATAAAATTCAAGATATTTTCCAAAACAAAGATTAATTACGTAGATATTAATGAGCATGTTGCAATGTGCTAATTAGATATCTAATTTCCAATTAATTAATAGGGTGCCTTGCTGGAATCTCTTGTGCCACCCAAATACTTGGGCCAAGGGGGAGAGGAGCTGGGTAGGGTAAATTTATTTAGTAATTTTTTTCGACTTCGTATTAAAATGGACTCGAACCTAATATTTATGATCAAAATGAAAGAGTATTTATAATTCTCTCATAATCCTTATTCGTGAATGGATAACATTTAGACATACTCAATATTAACAATTTTTTTCTTAAACTCAAGTCTGATTCACGAAAAAGTAAATATGCCTCATTTTTTAGATGATAAACATATATGTACTTTATTTGTTAATCGAGAAGGTTATATACATACCACTTTTACAACGATGTATATAGCCACAAAATATTTAATTTATAAACTAAACTTTTTCTCATACATATACAACAAAGTGCAAGTCTCAGTAAGACTTTAGTCCTTGCATCAATTACAATAAAGCCCATGTCTCTCATCTTTTTTTCTTTTCTTTTTTTAGTTTGTTCGGATTTCATATTAGAGCCTCGTTTCTCTTGCTTTTCGGAAAAAAGGACCTCCCACCATAAGAAAATGATCTTTTCATTGAAGAAGCACTGTCCATAACCCTTTGGATTCTTGAATTTGAACTTGTTCCCTCATTTGTTTTTGTCTCAACACACTTTTTTGTAGCAATTGAAGAACCCATAGATACGGACCTTCGCATTTTTTGTAATATTTCATCCTCTTTTTTCGATGTTTCATCATCATCATCGTTATCATCGTTCTCTACATTCGTGTTTTCTTGAAATTCCCCTTCTCTAGCCTCACTGTTGTTGTTCGTTTCTACAATTGAACCAATATCATCATTAGTACTCGATATGGGAGCGATTATTGATGATCCCACGGGTGCAGCAACAGTGTTGGAGATGATTGGAGCACGACACAATGGGCAATTAACGTGTGATCTAAGCCACGTATCGATACAATCGATGTGAAATGCATGATTACATTTAGGTAACAACTTAAGTGATTCGTCATCTTGAAATTCATTCAAACAAACAGCGCACTCTGTTCCATCAACTAAACCATCCCCTGTTTTGTACTTGAAAATTGTGATCAAATTGACAAAAGAAACTTCAATCCCTATAGTATCGATGTACCAAATTGGATGATGAATAATCGACTCATCGTTATCGCCTTCTCCTCTCGTTCTTCTACGATTCCAATTCGAGCAATTTCTTACAATGATTATGTAGTAGGTAAGGAGTAGGAACAAGCTAACAAATAACGCGATGGATATAATAATATAAGGTAAAATGTTCTGAACAACTTTGTTGTTCGATTCGATTGTTGGTGGTGGTGGTGGGATGTAAAAGTTTATATTAGGGTATGGATAGCAACCATAAGGACATGTTGAGTCACAAATATTATGGCAATTTGTAGTTTGGTTTGAAGTTGGAAATAACATTCTTGGCCTCATGGCCAATGACAAGATCAAAAGAAAATTGTGAATATATTGAAAAGGGGGTGTTTGGTATGAATAAAAATAATGAAGTTAGGTTAAGTTGTGGATAGAAAATGATGATGATTTAATTGAGAAGTCATTGTGAGCCATGTATATAAAATGTATATCAATAATGTGTAGTTGTCAAGTAGGAAGCGTAGCTAGGTAGTTTTTTGAAAAACTCCTACTCCTCACAATATATATATATATAGCACGTTTGGTTTTACAAAATAAAATAAAATAAATAATTATTGTGATACAAAACAACACTTGGGGTTGCTTTGGTGTAAAGAAATTATTTCGAGATTAATAATTTTTGAATAAGTTATTTTACTGTGTATATGAAATAATTTATTCATTACTAAAGTATATCTGATTTCATCGCAAATTAAAAATAAAAACGTGTCATATATATAACTATGTCTGATTCATTTTACTTGTCATAATTTACTGATTTAATATACTTGTCATTTATAAAATTAAAATAGAATAATATTTTTTTTATCTTAACTTTTACTGTGATAAATAGGGTTATGCAGAGATGACAAGTTGAAAGGAAAACTACTATTTAATTTATATCAAATAATAAATAAAATTTATTGGTATAATTATCTTTTTAATTACTTCTTATGTCTTATATTATTTGACCCACATTTCTTTTTTAGTTGACTCAAAATAAATGTTATTTTTCTATAATTAAAAAGAATTTAACTTTGTTTTTTCATTCTTAATAAAATAATTCATAACTACGTAAAAATTGCATTTAAACCACAAATTTTAAAAGTATTAACACATTTATTTCTTTTTCTTCACTTTGCATCAAATCCAAATGATATTTCCTTCATTTTAATTTATTTTTTGGCCTTTCCTTTTAAGTTCATTCAAAATAATTTTTTTTGGTTAGCCGTGTGGAATTTATTTTTTAATGTCATATTTAAAATCAGAAAATTAAATTTTATAAGCATTTTGGATACATTTTGCATATTTTTAATTTAAATTGTAATATTTTTAAAAGAAATTATTTTTTTAAGGTTATATCAAATTAAAATCAAATAAATAATTTAAATCGAATAAAATAATTAACTTTTTAAAAGATTTGAAAATGTCAAATATGACTGAGAGAGTAGAATAGATTTGGTCAATTGGATAAAGATAAAAGGTGGTATACAATTTATCAAGGGCCACACAATTTATTTAGCAAAAGGAGAGTAATGTTATAAAAGTCAAATATTTAAAGGTCAATTAAAAGTAAATTTTGTGTCAGAGAGTCAAGCTAAAGATGAACAAAATAATTTGAATATAATTTAATGTACACAAATTCTATAACAACAATTTTAACAAATCAATAAAATTTTATTAGGTGATAGTTCGTAGAGGATTAAATATATGTAGATTTTATCATAATTTCATAGAGATAAATAAATTATTTTCGAAAAAAGCTTCAGTTCAAATATATTAAATTCAAAAAATAAACTAATAAAATCGTGAAAATAATATAGAAGTTTTATAAAACAATAATGTAATGAAATTAGTATACTGCTTGTACTAGTACAGACACTAATAAACTTAAGCAAAACGCATTTTAATCCAACTAGCCTAAAACGTCACATATACTTCTTTCGATCTAAAGTTATGTAACATTTATTATAAAGATAATCGTATAAGAAAAAGATATTTAAACCATATAATTACAATATAATTGGAAAAGGTTTAAAAATATTTTTGAATTATTCGAAATAGCTTAAATATACCCTTGAACGATATTTCGGTTCAAATATATTCTTTTCCTCAAATTATAGGGTCAAAAATACCCTTCTCATTAACAGGGTCTGTTAAACGTCACTTGGACATTCAAATCATACAATTACAATATAATCGAAAGAGGTTCAGAAATACCCTTAAACTATTTGAAATAGCTCAATATACCCTTGAACTATATTTTGGCTCAAATATACCCTTTTCGTATAACTAAAGAGTCAAAAATATCCTTCTCATTAACAAGATCTGTTAAACGCCACTTGGATGCCATGTGGAGCCACATAAACCAATAGAGTTCCACTTAGGTCACGTAGAAAATAAACTTACCCCTAGTTTCTCCAATTTTCTCTATTTTCCTTAGAATTTATAAACGATTTCACTGAATAACATAGGACTTGTTAGAACCCCTTTCCTTTATAACTTATGTATTTTGTGAAATCGTTCTAAAGAAATGGGGAAACGAGGAAAAGGGGTTTTATGTCTTCAACGAAATCGTTTCTAAATTCTACGGAAAATGGAGAAAATTGAAAGAAATTAGGGGTAGTCTACGAGGCATGAGTGGAATTCTATTGGCTTTGGTGGCATACCATGTGACATCCACATGACATCTAAGTGACGTTTAACCGATTCTGTTAATGAGAAAGATATTTTTGATCCTATAATTTGACGGTAAGAATATATTTAAGTCGAAATATAATTTAAGAATATATTTAAACTATTTATATAATACAACTATACAAGTACATTACTAATACCTCATGGCACAATGCACATCTTGACAAATTCTACATTTTGAAATTATTTATGACAATCCTTTATATACTCCTTTAAATAATTTGTACCTAAAAAAAACATTGACTTTGTAGTTTATATGTGATTATTGCTTCCGACAAAAGTACTGATTCTAAATAGATTTGAGGATTCTTGTATAAAGGATAAAGGAAAATATTAAAATAGGGAAGATTTTACTTATTTTCATTTTTAATAAATCCACACATTTGTTTTAAAATATTTAAATCATTCATTCCTTATTTCCTTTTTCATTCTATATAAAAAAATTTAATACTCGTCAACTTCATATTCAATCGAATCATATTAAAACCTCTAGTTAAAATTGAAAAATTACTTTATCATTCCATTGCGATCTTATTAATTGGTAAATTCCTATTTTTCTTCTAATGTAATGGGTGGAACTATGATGACTAGAAAAATTATTAGAATTATTTATTCTTCTTTTCTTCTTTTTTCCCCCCTTTTGGTCCTCTTAGTCTTTGTAATAATGAGTAGTACATATTTAGCTTATATTTGACTTAATTTCGTTGAAAAAGGATCAATTTGGCCATAAATACTATTATTTCATTCGTCTCATGTTACGTGATAGCGTTTGATTTGACTTTTTGAAAAAATATTTGTACTCTCAAATAATCTTTAGATATTTATGTGGCGATGATAAAATTAAAATTTTAAATTTTAAAAAATAACTTATTGTTATAAACAATTTGTGTTATAGTAAATGTGTAATTATGTGG